AATGAATTTATAATGAACTTATTAAAATAAAATTATTAAATGCTCATTTAACATGTGCATTATTAATTTATATTATTATTTAAAATAAATACAGATATTATATTTTTAACAATAAATATATTTTGATCTTTACATGAAATCAATTATTAACATTTAAGATAATAATTAATTATTAATTAAATCAATATTAAATTTTCCATTAGTTTTGAAAATACGATTCTGACACTATGGTAAATTCTTACTGCCTTTAGGCTACATACATTTAAATACATATATTTGAAATGTAGAAAATTTACTACAAATAGTTTGCGATTGGAATGTGGCGGTGATCACGGCTTTTGGTGTAGCGATTGGGGCGAACTTCGTTCGCCAGATGGTAGAGCGGTTTGTTCGAGCGGTGCACTAATCGGTACACCGGAAATAGAACGCGTTTCCGTGCGGAAACACGCGTAAACTTGTTGATGGCCTTCACGGCGATCCCTACTTCTCACTGCCTTTCGGGTCCTTACGGACAATCTCAGCCCTCCGTGAATCGGAGGCCAAGACTAGGCTTCACGCCGATCGCCGCCCTCCAAGACAAGGGGGCAGAGATCAAAAAGACAATCCATAGGCATGGCTTTGAATTAAATTGATTTTATTGAAACGTTTTGTTTAAGGCATAAGTAGAGAGGTGAGAGGCATTCTCTAAAAAATGCCTTTTATAACATAAATTATTAATCAGCTATTAGTCTAATAAAACAACTAATCATCAAAAGCTATTCATCGATGAGACAAATAACACAAAATATATTAATAAATATAAATAATTTGCAACTTTTTGTGTCAGACATGTAGTCATCATTTTTCTACATGTCATATTTTTACAAAATCCACTAGAAACATTCAATAATAAAAATTCAATCTTTACATTAACAACAAATAAACTAATTTATCTTAATTTTATATATTATATGCACATTATTACATTATAAATTAGCTTTCTTTAGTTGTGTTGTCCAAATATTCAATATTAATTTATAATCTATATACCATTACTTATTATCATAAGAGAGCAAAGCGGGCATAATTGGGCATTGGCGGGCATTGCTATAATGTATTTTCTATGGGGCATAGTGTTGCCAGTCTAGCTTTTAAGCCTATTTGCTCACTCCTGCTTATTATGATTAAAATACAGTTTATTGCCGATAATTTTAATTATTGCATACACTCATTTTACTGGACATGGTACATTCAATCGGTTTGTATTTTAGAGTATTAGATAGCAGAAACATTATGGTAAATGATAATAAGTGTAAAATATATTATCTAATAAATATGTAATTTAATAACAATATAGGTGATTAGAAACAAATCACCAAAAAATTTTATTAATGTTATCCGAATATTGAATTTTCAGACACAACAATTTAAATTTTTAATATGTATAAATTAACTTAGTTATATATACATACTTTTATTCGTATTTATATTATAATAGTTGGCCTATGTGCATAAAATTGAAAAATTATTTTAATATTTTGTACTTATTAGAACTGCAATTGAATTGTATTGAGGAAAATTTAAAAAATACATTTTTGTAAATAATAAACTGTATGTTTATCACAACTGAATTTATTGTATTGTAGCCAAATAATTAAATTACAAAGTGGTCTCCTATTTGATAACAGAAAGTTTTTTATTGCAATTAAAATATTAAAAATTATATTTTAAAAATTGATTTATTTCATTAAAATATTTTATTTATAAAAAATGGCGATTCAACTTTTTATATAAAGTACAACTTAACAGCAACAATTTGTACCAACACTTTTCAAATACTTATATCATTGGTTGTTATCTGAATTGCAATTGAATTGTATTAAGCAATATTATAAAATAGAAATAAGTTAATTGATATGTGGTAAATAAAGTACAATACTTTAATATACTGTAAAATTGCAATTAATTTATTATATTGTATCCTCATATTATAACTGAATACATTGTTGAGCATTGTTCTTTTGCAAAACCTTTTCGTATTTATTATTAATTAATTACAATACAATATAATAAATGAATAATAAAAACCTTTGTATTTTATTAAAAATTTAGTAAATTAAATAACAATTATTTTACAAACACTATAATTCTGTTCAATATTTTAATATAAAGATTGATAATAATTGATAAATGTTTGTACTAGTAAAAAAATTATTAAGTTTGCAATTCCAGAACAAAATATTAAATTTGGTATCAATTTTATATTTATTAATTTCAATCATTTTAATCATTTATAATTAAACATATAATTATAATTACAAAGTTATCTATAATAATAAATTATAGTACTAAATAAACTATATTGTCTAAATTTTTTCAAATAATTATGTACGTCAGAGTCATCATTACCACGAGTAAAAGTTAAATAATTAATATAACTTTGGCTTTATAAACAATTCTTGAATTAATGTTGAATTAAAAAAATTACATAAGTAAACATTAAATTATAATCTAATAAAAAATATTAATTTTAATGATGGGATTTTGACTAAACTTAAAAGTTAACTATTAAGATACAATACAATGAAAATATTTGTAATTAATATACAGTTTACTCAATATTAATAACAAAATTTTAAAATATAATTAACCATAATAATAAACAATAAAATTATTGATTACTTTTAATAACAAAACTGTAATATTGCTAAAAATATTATTTTATATCATAATAAATAATTAAAACCTAATAACATGAACCTTAGACAAGAGATGACTTAATTATATAAATTATTAAAATTTTTATAAAACTATTAATTAAGAAATATAACTTTACCATCAATAATAAAAATAGTTATAAATAACTTTAACAATAAATATCAATAAATAACAATTTAACGCTAATATTGTAATAATTACATGCAGTTAATTGGAGTGCAAGTGTCGGCCCGTCGGGTGCCTAACAAACATTGGTCCGTAGAAATAGCTCGACGTTATGGTTGTTTTAATTTAAAATTTTTTAATTTTATTTATGTTATAATCATTGAATAAACTCTATAAACATTTTAACTATTGTTATAATATATAATTATTAATATTTAATATTATTATTTTATAATATGTATAAATATTACGAACTATTCTCCACGCTAGGTAAGTTTGCAATAATAGTTACAAATTATTAGTACCGTAATAATTGTTATAGACATAATTTAAAAAGTTTTATTACTGTAAATATTATTTGTAGCTTCTTATTAATTCACAATTTGTTTTTAAATATTTAGGATGTTAATTTATTATTTAAAATAATTTTGATTCAATTAATAAATTTAAGATATAAATTTATTTTAAAAAGATTGTACTTATAAAAATACAAATACATTGGTAGGTATTTAACAAAATAGGTACATTATGAATTGAAATGTAAATATTGTTCTGGGTTAAAATTAAATGTTTTAAAAAGTAATTAATTGCCAAAAGTATTGTCGTGTAGTTTGAGGTGATCTTCAAGTCGGACCAACTCTTCGCTCAATTGCCACAACTGTTTCGCACAGTTGTCGTCAGTAGCCGTCGACACCATATCATCCACTCGTCGACAATTGCTATTCACGATAAATCACAATTAATAAAAAAATTTAATCATCAGCACGTATCTGGCCAGTTAATTTAACCATGATTAGTTTTTATCCTTTACTGACTTTAATATTTCATTGACAATAATCTATTAATTTATTACATAAACATTTAATTAATGCCTTAAAAATGCAACGTTTGAAATGTATACAAAAGATCAACAAAATTAATTAATTGTAACAATGATTAATAAAGTAATTTAGTATATTATTGGGACACTATATACAACACAAAACTAACTAAGCAAGCACTTATAGGCAAAACAAAAACTAAACTAAACACTCACTCATAATAAAAGCCCGACTCGTTATCCAACCCCTCGTCGAGGGCGCAGTACAGCGACGTTTGGCAGCCCTTTACCACATCAATGCCAACCACTTTCATCATTATAGTCACCACAAACTTCTGCACAAACTTCATATATCGGACGTTTTCCGTTTGGACAGCACCGGGATGTAGTGAATACGTATTAACCCCGCGCTCGGGGCCCAGTCTACGGGCCAACTCCCTGGTGAACAACACGTTGGCCAGTTTGCTCTGGGCGTACGCCTTTTCGGGCTCGTATGCGCCGTTCCGGAGATTTATATTTTCAACGTGTATTTTTCCCGATTTGTGCAGACCTGACGACACGTGCACAACACGGGCCGGCCGTCCGGTGCCAACAGACTGTTTCATAAGTGGTAACAGCGATAGAGTTAACAGATAGTGACCTGTAAATAGTTTTGCATGTTTTTTTAATGATTTGTATTTATTTTTGTATTTTTACAACAAATAGTGTTTAAAATATTATGAATACCCAAATGGTTGGTCCCGAAAGCCATCTCAAACCCGTCAGCGGTGGCCCATTCGGGAGTGAAAGTGATGCCCGCATTGTTTATAAGTATATCTACTTTTGTCTCCCGTTTCGTAATTTCGGTCACGAATTGACGGACGGATTGAA